GTATATACATATATATAGTTTACATTATTAATGTCCTGTAGGAACTAGAGTGTTTGCCACTGTGATACAAATCAGGGTCACAAAAGTAGGGCACAAAAAGAGGTTGCTTGATTGTGGTGGTTTGTAGGTGCTAAAGAGAAAGATTAGCTTTGCTTAACTTTACTCCAGTTAAAGATGATAAACACAATAGAAAAAAATAAAAGGGCCAGAAATAGCAAATACTAAATAATGTTCAGCCGTAGTATTAAGGAAGTTGAAGACAATAAAATCAATTAAATAAAAAATGATTGTAAGCGATCCAAAAATGATTGTGGAAATTATTTGTTTCACTTCTGTTCTCCAGTAATTAAAACTATTAATATGAAAGTACCTATGATTTTTTTTTTATTCTGCTGAAAACAAATATGCCTTTAACACAATAACATCTGCTTTGGTACTTTTAAATGTCTTGGATCTTTGGATTATGTTAAATTATTTATCTTGGCAGTCTATTTTTTTCTGAAGTAGTAAAACATATTCAATCAACTGGCCCAGCTCAGCGAACATACAAATATTTAATGAGATAACAGCCCTGTTAGGTTCACCTGGTTTGTGTAAATGAACTGGCCTGAGTAGTAGCTGAGTAAATATATAAATCTACATGGGTCGTTAAGAGGTTACTGCCCTCACAAATTATGTCTTTAGCAATGTCCTTCATTTCTGGCTCATAGTGGATTTAGCAAAGAAGGTAATATCCTGTACCTAAACTACATAAGAAAGCATGCTTAACCTCTGTACTTGTTTCACATTAGCTCACAACTTTAACTCTAATGACCTTATTTTTCCTGGCCTATTATTTAGAATACACAGCACCTAGGTACTAATTAAAACCCGTCATCAAATAATTATCAAATTATTAATCATGGAAAGCAAAAATGAAATTTTACATTGTTTGGATTATATATGCCATAAAAAATAATACATATTTGTAGATTTGAATATATTTGTATATAATACTTGTAGCAGTGGTGTCTTAGAGATAATACTATCACTCTGTTAGTCATTCTTACAAACTTAGGGATGTTAAACGTAACTAATTTATTTTTCACCTTAAAATGGTTTACTAGTAATATGTTAACAAATGCCAAGATCTTTGATTCAGGAATTTTCTCAGGAAAACTGATACATGACATGTATCATTCAAATATGTTAATTTTTGAAGACCTGGTGACTCAGATAATAAGTGTGTAGTTGGCTTGCATCACCAGAGATATTTCTAGGTCAAAGTGGGGGTCAAAGCAATTGCCATACTCAATGCTTTCCTTGACATACAAGTATTTTTGTTTCTGCAGTTTAGAGCCAAATAAGATTGATAGAATTATATACACAATGAGATGGCTATAAACACTTGATGCTATCACAACAGTCTTAGGTCAGATAACCACCTAGGCTAGGTGAATGTTCTCATAATTGCTGGAGAAACTTCAATTAAGGCTGATCATTTAATATCTTCATGTCTGTAGACCGGGCCGGATTGAAGCTCCCCCATCACGTCGAGGAATTACAGCTTCAGGTTGTAGCTGCTCTTCAGTCGCAGATGCTATTAAATCACCCGTTCGATCGTGCAGTGTTTCCACGGCTCATGACCAGACTGTCGGACATCCGTCAATTCAGCGTCATCAACTCGGACAAAATGTTGAACGTGTTCGACGGACACCAACCATGCTAACCTGCCACTTAAAAAAAAAGAAAGACTATGGTAGAAGTTCTTTGTGGCAATTAGAAAAACATTTATTTAATTTTTGGAATATTTAAGTTTCCTCTTTGTAAAAGATTATTTGTTGGAAATTTGTGCTAAAATTTGAAAGAAATATCTTTAAAAAAAATTATTGATACCTTTCACCTTTGTAACCTTTGTATTTTTTTTACTGATTTTATTTCTGTATTGCATTTATGTATGTAGTATTTATTCATAAATTCAATACACATCGCTTCATTGCTAAAGGACAAGTTTAGCATATTATAAAGCTTCATTGTAAAGTAAGATAATGATAATTTGATAATTGTGAAATGTACCTAGAAACAAAAATTTATTGATTTCTAGACCAATTATTCCAAAAAGATAGATCACAAATTGAGTGTCGTCATACTTATGTTAAACATTTAACTGTATTTCCTTTGTGTCAAAAACAGGTCATACACAGCTGATCATGCAAGTTGGTATATGTTTATTCCCTTTGGATTTAAAATGTCTCTCAATAATAGAACTTGTAAGCCATTAAATATTGGAACGTGTTAATGAGAGAACTCATTTTGTCCTACCACTGTTAATCTTTGCGCCAACTTTTAACAAATAACTTGTAAATACACGCAAGGACAAATAAAATTCTCCGGCTTTACTCGCACCTGTGCATACATATTGTATCACGTATCACGTTGACTGTTTCTATGTTCTTTTTTTTTTTAAGTTTAGTTTTGGGTATTTAAAGAGAGTAGTGTATTACTGGTGTGGAGAGGGTAGGGCTTGGGGATGCAAGCTCTCAAAATAAGCTTGCGGGCCCCCTTCCTAGAAATTTGCTTAGATGAAAAGTTACAATTAAGTATAATTTCACGTTATTTTGCCATCTAAATCTCCGCTCTCTTAATCATCGAAGCCCCCACTTAGCCTTGTTGCCACCACCAGCACCCCTCCCTCCCTATCAATGCTGCTTTATATGCCACTATTTACTGACCTGTGCTATATACTGTTAAGTTCTGTATTCTCGCATGTTTTGTATTATTTCATTCACTAATGAAGCTACTGTAGAATTACCAGTATTATCAAAAATCAGAAAATATATGTAAATTAAAATTAAATATTGTACTGTAAAAACAATACTCTAAAAATATGGAATTTGTCTGAAAATGTAAGTTGTTTATTCCTTTCCATGCTGCAGTTACACACATTGGCTTATTTTTCAATAAGTTGTGTACTGAAGTGTCAAATTAAGTGAGCACTGTACTCCCCCCCCCCCCCCCATCAGCACTGTGATTGGAAGCATGTACTGTAAAATACTATTATCTTGCAATCAAGTAATGAAATATATCATTCCTGCTTCTTTAAAAATCATATTATTGTAGTTTTAAGTGTCCATGGCTATTGAAAGTCAAGGAAAATAACCATACACTTATACTACCCTCTGCATTTTTATAAAACATTATTTAGCAGTTGGTAATCTTAACTGAATACTTTTTCAACAACTCATCAATAAAACTGGCTTTTAAAGGGGCAAGATTATTTGAATTGTTATAAATTTTAACCGTTTATGTATTTATTACAACAGTTAGGATAAAAAAAAAGAAATTAAAAAAAGCCCTCCTAAAGTTAACCAAAGTTGAAAAACTATCAGTTGATTATCAAGGTATAAAGCTCTGTCTACACTATTTGAAATTTTCTTTGAAAAAAAAACTGTTGTATGCCCATATATAGTCATGACGTGCCTGTATATGGTCATGATGTGATGTAATCATGACCATATTTAGGCATATCAGATGTTTTGTCAAATAAAATTGGATAAATCTTAACAGTATATCAATATTTCATTGGTTATTGTTCGTTATCAATTACTTTTAACGGCAACTTTTGCCAAATTTGCTACAAATTAATGATTTATTTAAATTTGTTCATTCAAAGAAATATATCGATTTTATGTTATGTTAAGAAGTGCTCGGTCAATACCTGTATTATATTTAGATGTTTGTTGTGCTAAATAATCATTGAAAAGTGATGTTTTCAATATGTTTAATATAGTATTGACCAGTTTAATGTCGAACTAGAGGTATGCTTCCACTAAATGATAAGTCTTCTTCATTAGTCTTTTATTGGTTTTTCATAGCTATCTTTATAATCTCTGGATTGCACTCCTTTCCATATGTCCCCTACATAGATGAAATTTCTATGTGTGTGTGTGGAAAATTTCAGTTAATTTCAGTATTCGTGTTTGCCAAGATTAGCAAGTCTGAAATGTGTCTAATATGCCATCAACACTAAGTTTATATATTGAAACATGAACATTTCCTGAGATTTAAGACGGGTAAATATTGGTGAAAGGATTGGACTAGATAGAACAGTGTCAATCTTATCCATAATGAGCAAACACTCTGCCTAACTTTGAGATATCCAATGAATTGAAACTAAGTTGCCTAACTAAACTAAAGTTGCTTAACTTTGGAATGAGCTTCCTAACTTTTAGCCATCCATTGCAATTATCACTTGCATTTCAATGTATATTATAAGAAAAAAAGTGTTATTAAGAAACACAAATTTCAAAGCTTATCTGTAATTTGATTATTTTAGACCATGCTTGGTAGTTTATGCAAAACTACATTGATAAATACTTAATGGTTATTTAATAGCATAAAAGACCATTATGTTATATATATTATGTATTGAGAAATTTCTATTATATGTAAATACTGAATTGAAGTTTATATAGTATAATTTGTGCTTCTTTTTTATTTTGTTCTGTTTTCTTTGGTCACGCATTCCTCTTTAGCTTAAGATAAAACAATCCAATGCAGCTGGTATACTCAAAATATAAGCTTTTTCTTACCAGTCTTTGTTCTCAGGCTTTTCCCACTGTAGACCCCACCCCTGTAGACTTCCCCTCCTCCTCCCACCCCTTCAATATTCTTGCTCTAGTTTTACATACTAGACTGATGTGCTATATTTATAAGTGAACCAACAAAATTGTACTAGAAGAAAAATAAGTAGAGTATATATATAGGTAGATATTTAAATAAATCAAATTTCATATGTTGCCATGATAACCACATTATTTAAAGGCGATATGAATTACTACACCCAAGGGTCGTTTGGTTAAAACAGTGTTACCTTGCTTTAATTTATTAAATGTCCCCGAGTAATAGATTGATTGATTGATTGACGTCATGAATGGAAGTAGATTTTAAAGGACTAGAGGGCGCACTTGAACAAATCTCCACACGCCACAAGGTACATTACTGTATATAATCGGGAGAACTTTCAAGAAGTATTTTTTACGTAACCAACAGTGGCGGCGCCAAGATTTCCCCGACGGGTGGTCGAAGCACCCCGACAATGGGGGGGGGGAGAATGATGTCCCCGACGAGACAAAAATGGGCGTGGTCGGGCGTCGCTAAAAACCTTTCGAAAGTGGTCCAGGGGACGTATCCCCCGAAAATATTACAATTTAGGGGTTTCAAAAGCTTATTTACTGGATTTTAGAGTGTATTAATAGGCCTATGTACAATGGTAATGGTTGGAGACTTGTATAGCACAATACTGTACATATAAATTTTGATTTCTCCCCGACGAATTGTGGTTTTTCTTCCCCGCGGGGGGGGGGGGGTGCTGTAGCCCTAGCCCCACCGTATCGCCGTCTCTGGTAACCAAGACTGAAGGGGACGGGACCTAGGCTATATCTTGCAAGTACTGTAAACGGGCAGTTAGGTCACACTATATGCTATAAGTTAAGATTGTGTAGCATGACTTAAATGGTTTTGTTATGAGCCCCATTAATGTATTACTGTGATTTCCGTAGCACACATTAAGATAAGTTGTATCAGGGGGTGGTACACCTTCCACCTGGTTGTTGGTAGCCGTATCCCTCCTCTGTATTGACAATACTGGTGTCGTGAGAATTGAGTTCTGCATTCGCTATTCATGAAGACAAGTGCATATTTTTTGTTATACTTGAGGTTTTTCATCGGTAAACAAAAACCGATGATGTACGTGTAACAATAGATATAATGCTTACGACGAGTTCCGTTGTATATAAAAGTGTAGGAAATTCATAAAGGTGTGTTTGTTAAAATATTGGTGAAATGTTTTTACATTAAATTATTTAATCGAGTCAATATGTGTAGTTTGAAGCGTCTTCATTTTATAAATCCAATTCAACTTTATTTCGGAATTACATAGGCCTATTCCTTGTCACTGCGTGGTGACAACATCGTGCGACGACAACCTCAGAAGGTGTTTGCACGAGACAGTACAGAAGTCCAGTAAAATGACACGATTTGTATTCAGTACCAAGAACTTTATTAACTAAACCTCATAATGAAACCCAGTTTATGTAGATCATCATGTGCATATGATTGGTTACTATACAGTTGTGAAAGCGATTTCTCCTTAATCCTATGTATATAAGACGCGCTATATTGGCAATTTTTGGTTAATGTGTCTACATGAATAAAGTATAAAATATTAAACTGTTCCTTTGTCGCTTCCTATTTAATTGACACTGTCAAAATCAACATATAGTTTCCACCACGATATATCAACCTCACATCTACACAGTAGCATCATTAAAAATAATTATTATATACAATACGATAAAATCACTGGTTGAATTAAGTTCTTGTTTCGACTTAGAATATTGCCATAGGGAAACGTTACGCCCTCTACTTCAACTCTTACGCAGAGTAATGTATTCCATACTCAATTCAAAGTATCAAAATGTGTTTTCGTCTTAAAATAGTGATTGGATGTCGAATATCTGCCTGCAAAGTTGCTGACTCATCGCCTGTCATCTGTTAAGGTTTACATATTTTTAACTTGCTCGATTAGTTCAAGGGAGAAAATGGCTTTCTCATGGAAGCCACGTAAATTACAAATCATCGTCCATGGTTCAGTTGCACCAAGCCAAAATAATCACGAGATAAAAGTGGAAAATAACACTTTTAATTAGGTTGTACTCATTTCGTTTATCATAAATGAGTGGAAATTATTTGTCGATTTCATATTTTTGATGACGCTATAGGGCAGATTATGTGATAATTTAAACTAAATTATTCAAAGATACGTCTTAGCCCAAGCTATACTGTCCTAAGAAACATCCTAAATAACTAACAGGCAAAACAGGGGTCTCATGTCTCCCGGCATTAGACCTGTCAAATTTTAGCGATGAAGATATTTTTGGTCACATTGTGTGAAAGCTTGGCGCGTCTACAACAGCCGAATAGTATTTTGATTAAATATTATATTACTATGAATGTTAATATGCATGGATTTAATCTAATCACAAATAATCACTAAAAGTTGCAATTTTAATATAAAATTTAGATTTGAGTCACTTTATAAAATTAATCTTCGGCCCGAGATGAAACGCGCGTTACATTTGCGAGTACGATACGTAAAACCTTAGATGTATAGTGAATACGACCTCCGAGCACCTTGACAGAGATTACAAACAAAGATAGTTTGAATTTCGATCGAATGATTACAAACTATAATGTTTGATTGGACTAACCCCTTAAATGGAGCACTCGGAGGTCATTCTACGGATGCAAAGAAAATCCGAGATGGTGATTCGCATTTGAACCAGACGATGAACTTAGGATGACTCGATTGCTTTGATCGTCCTCGAGCAAATATAATACATATTATTGCTTTAAGCGACTCTCGACCTTGTCCTGCCCGATTCTGCCCTCAATATAAATAGACGAAAATAACAGTCACTGGAAGGAGAATCTTTTTCAAGAATTGTAACGATATTTCCATAAAATATTGTTTGTTCTTAAGATTCAATGTATAATCAACACGGTATCCATAATTAATATAGATCACATTCCTTGATTGGATATTAATATAAAATATTTAAATCACTGTATTTAAAACCAAAAAAATCTAATTCCCGATGTAATATCTACTAACATTTTGATTGGCTATAATTATTGAAACCAGTAGGGATTTACCATCGCGCCCCGACACACAACAAATAGCCTACCGTGCATCTACGGAACACGCACGCACAGTGCGAACAACAATCAGCACACAAAATATTCAGAAGGTATGGTACGATCATGAGCGGAATAAGATCATAAGCGGTGGCCGGGTTTTGGAGCGGTAGAAAATGCTCTCAGAATATTCGGGGTTTGACAATTTCCGACGGAGGAGGTCAAGTACTTGTAAGTCCTGGAGAAAGGCCATTTGGCCCCGGCTCTTCTCTCTTAGACATACTTATACAGAAGGTTGGGCTTGGCCTTTCCCGTTCCCTCGCATTAGGTAAATTTTATGCCGATGTGAGAAAATCGAGTCAATTTTAGTCAAAATGGATCACGGTGCCATTTTTTTATTACTTACATTTAAAAAAAAAATCTGCATAACGAAGGAATACAGTAACATATAAAGTGTCTTTGTGGTGGCGTAATATACCTTATGATAAATTGATACTTTCAACTGCAAAAATCAATTTTTCCTGTAGAAAGTAGGCCTAATTGTAACATTCAAAATTGGAGTTTTCCTCTTCAGGGGGTGGTGCCGAGAAGAGCTACCACCCGGTCGGAGGAAAAGCATTTCCTAGGGAAGAAAACAATATAGGCCTATAGGCCCGCGCCCCAATA